TTCCAGAGCAAGTTCCCGGCGGAGCGGGAGAACAGGGTAAGGCGGGGCGGGCCTGCTCCCAGCCCCGCCGGGCAGCCCGGGGGCCGAGCCCCGCCGCCCGCCTCGCCGCTTTGGAGCCCGCTGTGCGACGGGGAAAGGCCGGGCCCTGCCTGAGTGGCGGCCGGGTGGCGTTCACGCGTGGCCTGACAGACCGGCGCGGCCGTGAGCCCGCTCTGCGTCGTTCTGGAGCCTCTCTTGCCCGAACCTCCGCTCCGTCCCCCAGAGGCGGCCTCCCGGGTGCGGGAGGGAGGCGGGGGTTCTCCCCGCGGCCCTCCCCTGGCACCCGTTCCGCCCCGCCGCACCCCAGGGGTGCTGTGCTAGGGTCTCATGTCCGTCCTTAAGTTTAAGGACGCTAGCGCTGTCTAACCCTCTCTTTATTACGACCCTGCGCATAGTGTGAGGGAGGCATAATTTCATAATTTAAAGGCATATCCTGCTTTCGATATTGTTTATTTTTCACATAAAAGCGTTGTTTGTTGTCCAGATATCATTTCTGATCAATTCTGGTTAGAAAATACTTTCAATTTGTGGTGAAAAGCCACCTGAAAAACAGTTAAAAATGCTTCTCTTTGGTGTTTATGAAATGCTGGCGTTTTGTGCTTGCTTTAATCCTGAGGAAGGCAGCTGTCTTTTGCAGCAGTCAAACAGAATGTGTTCATTATGTCGGTGAGGATAAAGCGTGCGTTGTTGTGCTGTGCTGCATCAAGGCTGTCCTCTCTTGTGGAGACCAGCCAGTTCTGCCGAGCCTGTCCAGTGGCCTCACAAGTGCCGTCTCAAGTACTTGCATTTTGTTTGATGCTGTCAGATGTAATAGCTTCCACCGATAGCAAAACAAACACTCTTTGCTAATGCCTTTTCTTTTTCTCACTGCGCTTTTCTTCTCTTCCCTGTTTCTTTGTTTTGTTTTGTTTTATTGAGAGCTTGTTTGACCAGCGCTGCAGCAGCAGCAAGGCATTGCTGATATTAAGAGTTAGCTCTGTCAGTACACTCCCTAACTGCTCTTTTTAATCTAGCAGATCATTTTGTGTGTGAATTAACCTCCCCCCCCCAGTTGAATTGCACTTTGGTTTAGTTGGGTTACTTGTTTTGTGTTCACACTGTGTTGGAATTCAGACTTGGTCTAATCTCTTGGCAGACGTTTAACAGAGAACTACAGGTCTGTAACTCAAAGTGTCCTTCAGACTTTGGCTCTGAACACAGTGGCTGCAAAGTGTGGAAGTGCAAATAAGCAATAAATGAAGGTAGATATCCGAAGATATCGTTGAGTTCCGAGATGTGCAGGGCGTGACAGCTAAACTTGACTTCTCTTGCAGATCGACAGGCAGCAGTTTGAAGAGACTGTCCGAACACTGAATAACCTCTATGCAGAAGCTGAAAAGCTTGGGGGCCAGTCTTACCTTGAAGGGTGTCTCGCCTGTCTGACTGCCTATACCATCTTCTTGTGCATGGAAACGCATTATGAAAAGGTGCGCTGCTTTTGTTTACCTTGCCGCTTGGAAGGCAGTATGTGCCACAGACTTCAGTCAAAGACGTATTTCTTGGTAGGGCTTCTGTGACTTGCACCGTTATCCTACAACTTCCATGTAGACTCTGGGTCTTCCTGCAGAGTGATTTCACGTATCCATCAGACGGACTTGTCTCTATTAGTCAATTTGAGTAACGTAATGACAGCTTGTACTTCAGAGGAATCACGCAAGTTCTGTCTCTAGTTTTGTGCTGGGCTCTCCTAACGTTGCTACATCTGTGATGTTGCCGAGGCTCTGACTCTAATGTAGGGAGGGACCGTGACTTCTGTGCTGTTCTCTTACCAGGTTCTAAAGAAAATTGCCAAGTTCATTCAGGAACAGAATGAGAAGATCTATGCTCCTCAGGGCCTCCTTCTGACAGACCCCATTGAAAGAGGACTAAGAGTTGTATCCTTCTGTGGCTTCTTAGATTGTCTCCCGGTTTGTCCACCCGTGATGTGCTACCTCTTTATCTCAGTGTGGCACCCTCTGGTCGTGCTTGATCTGTGATATGGCAGAATACGTGATTAGCCTTGTTACCCTCCGTTGTGTACTGTTCCCTGGTCAGATTTTAGTACATTAAGGTCTGTCACATCAAAAGACAAGGAAAACACAGTATTGGAATCCGTCCTTCGAGACTTCCTTGAAAACACAGTATGTATAAACAGAGTGCTTCCAACACTTTAGATGCTTTCTCTATTTCAGTGGCCTCTAAAAATGCAATTTGTTGATTGGAAAAAAGCGACCAGCTTGGTAGGATAGAAATTGATTACATGAAAGCAAGAGATGGCTGTTGTTTAATTTGCAACCCTCAGCTCAGACACTGGTGAAGATTTCGCCATATGACATCCCTATAAGTTGATTCCAGCCTAGCACTTGCTCTTGGTTCCAGCATGGCTTATTTTAACCTTTTTTCTTTGACTCTTGAACCACACTGCGGGCATTTTATCTGGTTATTACCTTGGTAGTTGTAAAGGCCCCGCATAGCAAATCCAGGGGTAGAATGAGTAACACGTATTATTTTTTGAGAATATTGAAACTGAAGCAACTTGAAACACAGAGTGCCAATTAAATGCATGCTAAGGCTAATTCCTTGCAGTTGGGTTATCTGTGTATTTGTTTAAATAGCTTATAGCTGTCACCTACGTGACTTCATTATTCTCGATATGTTTTCCACATTCTTCTATGCATGCACCTCCTGAAAAAAAACAACATTCAACTTGAGTAAAAGCATTTTCAGTTTGGCTAGTGACTTAGTAGCTGAACTGCAGAAGTGTTAACTTTTCTCTAGTGCGTAGCCTTTCCTGAAATTTAACAGAAGGCGGCAAGGCTCGCAAACCTTCCACGCACAGCATCTTGCGTTCTTGTTGTCAGGACAGTCCTGGGCTGGATCGACCACTCATCTGCCCTGACAGGGTGTCTTTTATGTGTGCTGTTCCGTTTGCTTTGCAGCTGTGAAACTAGCCTGAAACAGCAGGTATGAAGCAGAAAGATCAAGGGTTCTGATATCTTCATGTTTTTGCACTTTTTTTTGTCGTTTTCAGATTTGTAGTATGTTTCCCTAACAGCTTTTCTGTGCAGATTGAAATTACCATTTATGAAGACAGAGGTATGACCAGCGGAAGATAAAACTGTGGAGTCTCAGGTACATGGTAACCTTATACTAGATCAATCTCAACCAATCTCAACCTGTTTTCTATGCTCAGAGGGGTAGATTCTGTTACGCTGAGACGGAGTATTTATCCCACCACTGTGTGTAATCAAAGGCTGTTCACATATATCTTGTGTGGACTAGGCTTTCTGAATAAGTGGAAATATCAATACTTGGCATTATGCCGCTGAACGTTAATACAGATCAGATGGTACCGGATTTACCTTTAGAGAATTTCAGGTCTTGATTGTGTAAACATGTGTTAAACCTGTATTATGTCCAAAATTGTTCCCTGTTCTGTGGATAAAAACCTTTTTTTATTCTCTTAAGGTTTTTCTGTTATAATGTTCTGAGCAGACAAATTTAAGACTAATCCTTAAATCTAGACTTTAAAACAGGTCCCTATTTAAATGCTTATTTTGGATCTCCAAATGGTTTTCAGACTAACAGTGTAAGAGAGAAGTATCCAAGAGAAGTCGTTGATGGTGCTGTCCTAGCGCCTGCCCCTCCTGTACTGCTGTGAACAACGCGGCTTTTCCTTTTGAGTGTTTTCTGTGGTACCTCAGAGCAGGGTCTGTTTGAAAAGCTTTCATGTTTCGAGCACTTGTGAAATCGAGGTTATAAGCCCAGCATGTTAAGGATTCCCTTGTATTTTGCCTAGAAGTCAGTATTATTCGCCCCAGAATGTGAGCAATTGCATTTTACCTTCTTGGTTCTAAGTATGGAGGAGATTCACTTCTACACACGGCTGAATGGCAGCTTTGCTGTTCCAGAAGGGACTGAACAGAGAACTGCTGTTGCCTGGGGTCACACTCCGGTCTCATGTGCCAAGTGGTGGGATTCTTCCAAGCCTCTTCTGCTCAGAAACATTTGATAAGATGCTGTATAAATACAGTTTATCTTATCTGCTGCCCGAGTCTTGGAATATGGCATATTCTAAGAGTCAAATCTTACACAGCCTAAAGGGAAAATGCAAGTAACTTACTTGGTAGCATTACTAAATTATTTCAGTGCTTTTTCTAACCTGCTTCTGCTACGCATCTGTAGGATTTCTCTTTTGGTGGTCTGCTTATGACTGACCCATATTTCCAGTGCATATAAACCAGATTAATCTGCTGCAAGATGGAGAAAACCATGACAAGAAGTTCTGGTAAAGCAAAACGGTGAAGGTGCTTGTTGACGCATACCTGTTTCTAAACAACTCTGGCGTGTCAACTTGGCATTGCTTGTAGATGCCGGTTCTGTCTCAAAACACCCATCTTTATCTGGTTATTAGCACTTGGGGATCTGTTGTATTGCATAGCGCTTGTGTGCTGTTGGAATAAGTTTGTGTTTTATCAGCTGCATCTGCATATATTTGGCACAAGCCATTTGTCATGACTCATTTCACAGCAATTATTGCAGAATGTTTTCGTAGGTGATGTGGGTTTTGAGCAATTACATAAAAGCTAGTTCTGTCAGTGTTCAAAGAACTGAAATTTCTAAAATGAAGAAAGACTTGTATCGTGAAGTTCTGGATAGTCTGATGAATTGCAAATAACTGTGGTCGGTAAACATCTGTTTTGAAAGCAGAATAAGTACCCAAGTAAGCCTGGTCTGGAACCGGAGCTTTCTTAGGTATTCATCTCCTCAGCTGTAACCTGGTCATTTGGAGACCGCGCACTGTCCTGGATGATGTGTTCATGAATTCGGCCTACATGGGCTCTACAAAACACGGACTGTCTTTCTATCCTGTAGAGCGGTAGAGGATATGACTCTGGCTAGGAATAGGTGGTGTATATTAGGACTTCCAATGGTCGCTGCAACATCTGTGTAAATTCAGAGGAACTCTGAGATCTGCTACTATATTTGAGATCTTACCCTACCCAGTGGTTTTAAGTGGGAAAATCTTTGCACGACTCTGTCCCTGAGTGTATTCTAACATACAAAAACTCTTTGTTGCCGTTTTTCAGCTGGATGCTGTCCCAGTTCTCACTTTGGTATCTTCGCTCGTGATGCTTTCAGTTAAGAGTGTCCAGCAACCTGTAGCTTTGGTAGCTTTAACTGGAAAAAGTTGCTGAAAGGCACTTAGTGTTCATGATATTGCGTGGCAGAGTCGCAAAGTGAAAAGAGTGCGCAGAGTACGTGAAAGAGAGAGGCTAAAATAAAGGATCATGCTAATTGCATGCAGTACAGAATTGCAAAATTACTGTCCCTGGGTTTTCAAAATACCTGTTGAACTTTCGTTAAGCTTTGCTTTTGAAAAGCTCAGATTGGAACTGGCTCCCTTGTCTTAGGTACTCTGCAGATCCTGGGATGGTAGTCTAAGTCTAGGTGGATGGTAGTCTAAGTCTAGGTTGTTGGCAGTGTGTGCAGAAGAGAGATTGGAAATATTTGTGCCTGTCGTGCAGAACGAAACAAAGTCGTCAAGCCTTTATTTCTTGTTAGATGAGTGGAATCCAGAGCGTTGGCTACTCTCACCACAGCACGTGGTAACCCTACCTTTCCTGCTACATCCCTCCTAAGAGAACAAAATATAGCTATGTAAATGTTTGTGTAAGGTTTTGTTGGTTTTATTTATAATAGTTTCTAATAATATGAAACTCTTTTCCTAGCAGATAGCTCAACAGTGGACTTGCTGTATCAAAGTTCCCCTACCTCCTACTTTAGAGCATCATTCCTTTCTCTGCTGCCAGATCCACAGTGCCATCTACTACAAGGACTAACTTCCTAAAACTGCTCCACGTGGGGTGACCTAGCTGGTCAGCATCCATTTTGTGGCAAACTTTTAAGCAATGAGATCACTTTTTAGTTGGTTTTTTGTTTGTTTGTGGTTTTTTTTTCCCAAGAAAAAGCAGAAGTGGTAAAGCTACGTACTCTTCTGAAAGAAATGGAGCACTTAGCCCAGCGGAAGTCTAGTTTTAGTCACATAAGTGCAGTGCTGTTCCTCCCTAGTTCTTAAACCCTTCTGCACACCAGTCGGGCTTTGGAAAGCTACAAGTCGAGTTGGGAATTTTCCAGAAACGAGGCCTTCCCTCCAGTTCAGTATTGGAGCGAGGGGATACACAGTGCCTCTGCCTGGCGAGAAGGGACTCGAGGCAACGAGCGTTTTGCGTTTCCTGTGCTGATTCTTGTGGAAAACCAAACGGCAAAGTGTTATTTGTTTTCATGTTTTGGTTGTTCCTAGAAGGGGGAGGAATAGCTGGACTTTAATACTGGTGTTTTTTCTACTACTGTATCTGTGCTGTTCTTGCATCTGTCAATGTTCACCAGAAGAGGGGGGTCTATTCATTCATGAAACAGTAAGTACAATAAAATGGATGCTGAACCAATAAACTTAACAATTCCTACCCTACTCTGATTAATGTGAAGTGTAAAACTGTTTCTTTATGGATTTATTATATATAATTTATAGGAAAACATTGATTTGACAAACTGTTAGATGTTGTGTAAGATGGTTTCTTAATTCTGTCTGCTGGCACACTATTGAAAAGTAGAACTGTGCATTATTTAGTATCCCCCATGCATCGACATTCCTCAGCAATACCTGCAAAAGTAAAGTTCCTACAAACCAAGCTGGCTTAATATTTTTCTCTTATATCCTTTTCCCTTATCAAAGCAAGGATGTCCTGGTTTATGTTCCGAGCGTCATCGTCCAATTGTAGAAGGAATTCAAGAATTTAGAAAAGCAGACTTATGCAGAACAGATCGAGTGTTTTGGCTTTGGTGGTACTGTAGGTGCTAATACTGGATCTGAAATTCCAGGCTTATTACTCAGCCACTTCTTTTTTTTTTTTTGACGTTTGTTTAATACTTTAATTGTATAAAACTTGTTTTTTCTAAACTGTAACGGTGTTTGCCTTTCACATCTGTTGCGATATTGGCAGAAGTACTAATGGATTAGTAAATTTTTTCTTAAACTGTGTCTGTGTCATATTTGATAGCGCTGCTTTTAAAGGAGCACTCTCGGCGAGATTTTGTACTCCTGCGGTAGCAAGGTCTTGGTTGTGAACAAACAGAGCTAGCATCGTTTCAAGATCAGTTCCTCAGCCGCACCTGCTTTGTCCGCCGTTAATGCAGCTTCGCTTTTCAGCGGCCTTTCCCCGGCGGAGCTGTGCTGCTTCCCGCCCGCCATTTTCTGAGGGGTGGGGCGCGTGCGCGCTGCGGGGGGACGCGCGAGGCGGCGCCGGACGCATGCGCGGTGCGGGGGGTGGGATGCGCGCATGCGCGGAGGGCCGCGGCGGGAGATGGCGGCGGCGAGCGGTGAGGGGACGGCGGCGGACTCGGACGGGGACAGTGAGGAGCTGGTGCTCACCCCGGCGCAGCTCATCCGCAGCCTGGAGCAGGTAGTGTGGGCTGGGG